TTCTTCCTCTAGGCGTGCCGGGCTCTCGGTGGCCTCGGCGCCTTTGTCCTCCCGCACCTGACTTACGGAAGTCTCGGTGCGCTCGTGCGGAGTCGCGGGGAATATTATCGGCAAACATTCCCCTCATCCGCCGGGGTTGAAGCGTAACGGGTCTAGGTTGGTGTGACAAGACGGCTCACGTGACCGCGCGAACGTAACCGTCTTTACGGGTTTTTCGGATTTTCCCCCACCTTCCCCCAAATTAACCTTTTTGGTTTAGCCTTCCCACCCTTCCCCCCCCCCCCCCCCCTCTCACCCCAAAATGGCGTGCGCGGGGATCGACTTCGGCAACAAGACCTCCGTCGTGGCCATCGCCCGACGCGGCGGCATTGACATCTGCTGCAATGAAGTCTCCAACCGGGCCACCCCCTCCATGGTCTCCTTCCAGGGCGCTGAGCGCCACATCGGAGAGTCCGCCGCCTCGGTCGCCGCACAGAATTACAAGAACACCGTCGGCTCGCTCCAGCGCCTGATCGGCCTGCCGCGAGACACCCCCTTCACGGAAAGGGAAGCGAAACGGCTCACGTGTCCAGTCGTCGCAGACCCTGCTTCCGGCGCTTGCGTTGTTAAGGTCACTTACACGGGCGTCGAAGATGAACAGCAGGCCGAGCAAGGCCAAACTTCGTTTACCACCCAGGCTCTGGTCGCCATGCTCTTGTCTGATTTGATGAAGACGGCGTCAAATGAGTACAAGGCCCCTGTTAAGGACCTTGTTATCTCCGTCCCGGTGTACTATACGGAGCCCCAACGCCGTGCCATTCTCGACGCGGCGACCATTGCCAATGTTAACATCCTTCGCGTTGTCAACGAACATGCCGCCATCGCTCTATCCTACGGTATCTTCCGTACCAAGGAGCTTCCGGATACAAAACCCATCAAGGTCGCCTTTGTCGACATCGGCGAGGCTAGCACCACAGTTTCCATCACCGCTTTCACAAACACTCGCAGCGACGTCCTCGCCGTCGCTTCGGACCCCAGCCTCGGTGGCAGGGATCTCGACGACATTCTCGTCAACAAGTTTGCTGAGGAGTTCAAGACCAAGTACTCCATTGATGTGCTCAGCAAGCCAAAGCCGTCTCTCCGCCTTCGAAAGGAATGCGAGAAGATCAAGAAGATTCTTAGCACAGTGCCTAACGCCTCTCTCAACATCGAGTGTCTCATGAATGATGTCGATGTGAAGGGCACTATCTTGAGGGACGAAATGGAGGAGATTGCCGCCCCACTCATTGCCCGCATCCGCGATTTGTGTGACAAAGCTATTGCCGACGCCAGTCTCAAACCCGGTGAGAATCTCACTGCCGTTGAAATCGTTGGCGGTAGCACCCGTGTCCCGGCGTTCAAGGCTGTCATCACGGAAACGTTTTCCAAAGTAGGCGCTGTGGTGCGCACCACTTTGAATGCCGACGAATGCATTTCTCGAGGCTGTGCACTCATGTCCGCTATGCTCTCGCCAGCCTTCAAAGTGCGTGATTATGTCGTCAGTGACATTGCCACTCACGCCCTTGATGCCGAAAAGGTTTTCACGGATGGCAGCACGCCAGAGTCATTCACTCTGGTACCGAAGGGTAACACGATCCCGTGCCTAAAGGCAATGACATTCAAGTCTCCGGGACCGCTTACCGTCAGCGTGCGATACAGTGATGTTGCAGCCCTTGCAATTGGCGAGGAAGGCGTGCAGATCTGTAGTTACCTCGTTGACGCACCCATGGACCTGGAGGCCAAAGTTCGCGCGAAGATCCGCGTCACCGCGAACGGCACTGTGGAACTGGCTAGTACGCAGCTGATGAAGGAAGTTGAGGTTGAAGAAGAAGTCCCTATCAAGGTTGAGGAGAAGCCAACTGCGGATACCCCTGCGGTGCCAGCTGGAACTGCACCAGCCGAGCCATCCCCTGCCGCTGATACTCCAATGACCGACGCCTCCGCCGACAAGACTCCCGCTAAACCCGAGGAGCCAGCAGAAGCAGCGCCCCCCGCGCCCGAACAGGCGAAGGAGGAGGCCCCAAAAATGGAGAAGCGATTGGTGAAGAAGACGAAGCTATCAGATCTCCCGGTAACGAGACTACCGGGCATTGGGCATGGTCTGACTGCCGAACTGGTAATGGCTGCGACTGAGAAGGAGGCAAAGATGAGGGCAAATGACCTGTACATCAGGGAGCGCTCTGAAGCCATGAACTCGCTGGAGGCCTACGTGTATGACTTGAGAAGTCGAATCGACCCGTACAGTGGTGACCTGAAGGACTTTGGACCAGAGGATATGCGCAATGCGTTGAAGGTCGATCTCGACGCGACTGAGGAGTGGATCTACTCGGAAGAAGCCGAGGCTTCGTCCAAGAGCGCTTTTGTCAAGAAGAAGAACGAACTTGTGCAGAAGGCAAGTAAAATCTTCTTTAGAAAGAAAGAGTTTGAAGAGAGGCCCGTTCGAGTCAGCGTGTTGGAGGCTTCTATTCAGAACTACAAGCAAGTTGCAGTGCCAGGGGCCGAAGAGTACGCTCATATCGCGGATGAAGAAAAGAACAAGCTGTTGAAGTGTGCTGAGAGCACGTACGTATGGCTGAAAGAGCAGCTGAAGAAGCAAGAACCTTTGGCAAAGGACCAGGATCCTATTTTGACATGCACCGACCTAAACACCAAACTCACAGAACTGGATAGGGTTTGCAGGCCGATTCAAAACACTCCAAAGCCAAAACCGAAGGTTGAAGAGAAGAAACCTGAAGAAAAGGATGTGGATATGATGGAAGAGGCTTCAGCGAACACACCTCCAAACGGGAATGGCGCGGAGAAGGCCGAAGCGGTCCCCAACGCGAAACCAGCAGAGGCGCCGGCTCTAAATGGTGAGAATGCGAAAATGGAAGTGGACGACCAGCCCGCTACTGCTGCAAAGGTATAGAAACGGGATGTGTATTGTGTAGAACACTAGGCTTTCTGTGAGTAGTTTTCACTGTGCTGTAGTTTTGGCTGTCGATAACGCTGTTGAGAGTCAGGGTGACGTCAGTTTTGATTTATTCGAGCAGCCGATGACGAGATTATCCGTCAGAAATGCTGTTGTCGCCAGGGCAAGATAGTGGGTCAAAGCGATGCTATGAGTGCTGCCGGTCAGCAAAACTTGTAGTATTGCGACAGTTAGCTGCAGCCTGGCTGGGCGATAAAGACGGATCAGGTCACTGTCAGAGTGTGTCCTACGATGCACTTCTGATCTGGTCCTTGGTTCTTGGTTTTGGATGGAGCTGGAGTCATTTTCCATAGATACTTTGTGCTACCGTGTTCTTGGCATATACCGCACTTGACGTGGGTAAATGGCTACTGTATCTATTAGGAATCCCGTTATTTCTCTATTCTCCGATGTTGGATGCCGAATATGCCATCCAGCGAAACTGCAACGTCGTAATGAATTACATTACACAGCGAATCAAGAAGTCCACTACTGTACATTTCGAGATAGATATGTGGTAAAAGGGAGTGCCCCCTGGCCAGGAGACAAGTGGAGAGGATGTGCACAGTATATGTAGTAGCGATATCCAACAACATATGAATGAAAATCATGATTTTAAGTCTGAATTCATTCTGAACACTTTTCTTGGTCGCGCCTAAAAGCACGACTAAGAGTAATGTTCAGAAGACATATTTGAAAACTAGCTGCGTGTAGCCTTTTTTAAATTTCTGAATGAGAGAAGATAGGCTCTGAATCTCTTGTAATTTGCATAGCGTCGTATGAAGACAACTCACTATAACAGAAACCAAAAAGAATATTTCTACATGCGACCTATTCACACTACACAGTACAAGGATGATGATTCTGAATATACACCCCTTTTTCGTGCCACAACGAATCCTTTCATCGTATACGCATACTGCCTCAAACGTCAACACTAAGGCTTGGTGTATTCCTAGTGTAACACAAGCATAGCAATAAAAATCTGCGTTACTGAAAACATTATTTCAGTTTGCCTCATTCTCGAGAGTCGAAGAGCGAACAACATGCATAACATCCCTTTCAAATAGAAGAAGCTGTTTACTTCATAATGGAACCGGTATCCTCGAAAGTTTGCGGCGGGCTTTTTCATTCAGTGATGAAAACTATGTACATGCGAAGTTGAAGAGAAAGTGTACGGGTACGCTGTCATAATTTCTTAGCATGAAAAATTATTTCTTCTTTCGTCATAGGTTTTCTGTTTCATGGCATGGCATGTCTAAGAATAAGTAGCGTCCACATTGGCTATTGCCCATGAGCGACACCTAAAAAATATGCAGTCTCGGTGAAGTTTACGTATCGGGGCTTCGATGCTCTATTTTAAAGAAAGTACATCTCGCCTTGCTTTGACGAAGCCCTGGTCTGCTGCCTTTTGCATCCACATTAGAGCCGCGCCTCTATTTTTTTCGACCCCCTTTCCATCACGAAGAAGACGTGCAAAGTGGTACTGGGCTTCGGAATCACCTACATATGCTGCTGTGCGATAGCAGAGGAGTGCTGCCGATAAGTCTTTTTCTCGTCCCCTTCCTTTCTCAAACATGCGTCCTAGGCGTAAGGCGGCCACCCCACATCCTCCTGTTGCTGATCTAACGAATAACGAAAATGCCATATCTTGATCTTCCCGGACTCCATAACCTCGTTCATACATAGAACCCAGTCTATAACAAGCTTCGCTGTCGTTTGCGTGCGCAGAAAGATTATAAAACAACATAGCTCTATCCAGATCTTTCTTGACACCGAAGCCCTTTTCGTATAGAATACCAACTTTTGTTATTGCCCTCACAGAGCTATGCCCATCAGAGTATTGAGCGCATTGACGGTACAAGTCAAAGGCTTTTTTGTAGTCGCGGCTTGTGCCAATCCCGGATGCGTACATGTCCGCTAATCCTACAAGTGCTTCTGAGCGCACAACCTCGTTTCCAAATTCACAGGCCTTTTCAAACAACAGCCTGGCTCCACGAATATCTTTTGGCGGGCCACCACGGGAAAGAGCTAGGTTACCAAGGGAGAGAAATCCGAGAGGCTCTCCTTGATCGACGGAGTTCGAGTACAGCTTCCGGGCCTTATCATAGTCCTTCTCCAAACCGTCGCCGCATTCATACATACTACCAAGATAAACCATTGCAGTGCTATCATGTACTCGGATAGCTTTTCGGAAAAGTGAAATGGCCTTTGCAACATCCTTCACTCCCAAAGAACCATTTCTGTAAACCACGCCCAGCATACATAACCCTCTAGGGCTCCCAATGCTAGCTGCCCTTTGGTACAAACCGAGAGCCTTTTCTCGGTTCTGTTTTACACCAAAACCATTAGCATACATGTCTCCAAGATAAACAGCCCCCAATCCGAAGCCCAACTCAGCTGCTCTTTTGAAGATGGCCATAGCTTTAGAAGTATTATCTCTGCCACCCTTGTTCAAGTACATGCGACCAAGCGCACAGGCCGCCATTTCGGACTGTCGTGAACGTGCTCTTCCGTACAACAGCATTGCCTTTGATTCATCTTTTCTGACGCCTCGTCCATGCTGAAAACACTCTGCAAGATGGAAGAGGCCCCGAACGAGTCCAGCACTGGCTGCTTGTTCATACAATCGAACAGCTCCACGTGTGCTCTGCTTCGTACCCAAACCTCGTTCTTTCATGAAGCCTAGACAGCACTGTGCCCACACTTCTCCTTGATCCGCAGCACGTTCATAAAGATGAGCGCCTTTCGTAACCGATCTCTCTACTCTCATTCCTCTACAATATGATGCTGCTCGGTAACATAACCAACCCGAGCCATACCTTTCCGAGGCTTGGCGGATCAACAGCTCAGCATGTTCGAAGTCTGGATGAATTCCCTCATGGTAGTAATATGTAAGTTCAAGACCAAACTCTGCTCCTGTATCTCCTGTGGATGCCGCCTTCTTGTACCAATTCATAGCTGTAGTGTAATCTTGAGGAACAGCATGGCCAAGAAGAAACATAAGACCGACCAGTGTCTGTGCTGGAATGAACCCAGCCAATGCAGCTTCGATTGCCAGCTGAGCAGCCTTTTTCAGATTTCCTTCTGTCGCTTCTCCACTCGAGAACACAACAGCAAGCCTGTACGCCGCTTCTGGACATCCCTGTTGTCTGGCTGTGAAGAACGACTGCACTGCCCATTGCAAGTCTTGTCCAACAATATCGCCCTCGTAGAACAGTTTGCCAATCTCTACATGGGCCTGAGCGTCATCTTGTTCTGCGGCACGACGGAAGAAATCAACGGCCTGGGTTCCTCGACGCATTTTTGCGTATAGATGTCCAAGATTGCGAAGAACTGTGACTGGATAACATGAACTGTGCAACTCATGTTGTGAGCGGGTGTCGCCGCGAGATGCTTTTTTGACAAGCTTAATAACACTGCTCGGAAGTTCAAACAGATGAGAGGAACAGAGGATAGTACTTAGGTTTCTTGAAACATATGAGACATCCATGGTAGTGGGGAGGAAGAAGCGATAGGTGTGGCTGCCCGACTGGTTCTGACGGTAATGGCGGGTTGAAGTACGGAATGTTGATTTTTAGGAACACATGAACGAAAATGAACGATGTGAGCGGCAACTTTTTAGAATCGGGGGCAAGGGGACTCACGAGCAGGCGCGGCTTACAAGATGTGTACAAATTATCTGACTTTGCGAAAGAGGCAACGCTGCATTAAACAATGAAGCTTGCCCAGCAAAGACTGATACAGAGAATGGAGAATCTGGTATTACTACAGGGATGGCGTTTCACAAGAGTGGAGAATTGCGACAGGCCACACTGCGGTACACAATCTGAGCAAAAATGATCAAATGCATCCTGATAACATGAGAAAGAGGTAGTGTATTAATGAAGTAAGGTTTGAGAAGGGGAATAGAGCTCTCTTGTATGCAGGGAAATGGGATGAAGGACAGCAGACGGCCTGAGGAGGAGAAGATGCTCCTTCATGCCGGGCGGTGCACTCTGTGAATGGCGCATATGCGAGAAAGGCATCTCATAGCTGTCCCCATGAAAATAGCCATACCAAAGAATGATTGTTTTCTGCATGAAGACTTCTTTTTGAGGATCCCTCGCTAGTTGACTACGTGTAAAGTTAGACTAGACTGCACGAGGGCTCCACGTAAGACAAAAATAGAACACTGTTTCTCGCCGGTGCCGCGCAATCGCACACTGACTGGACAAATGCCTAACTCTTTTTCCCCGGCGGGAGCTCGTCCGCCCCGCAGTCCGCCCAGCATTCAGTTTATCGTGTATCGAAAACGTTGCATGCATCACATAAACCATGGCGAAACACCGCACACATACCGTATCAAACAAGCAATTGCTGATTTCCCTCCGTGCATCGTTGCACGCGACATCCAGAGGGCGGTATCTCATTCATGCAAATATCACTGAGTCTGCTGAGCCATCCCGATCAAACTCTGCCAAAACCGATGGTCCTTACACTTGCTCCCATCCACAAGCAAAGCATAAGGCATGCCAAGCCGCTGACGCTCAGATGAAAGCTGCCAATCGCTCTTAGATGACCGATGGGCATTCAGACGCATTGACGTGTGTCATTTGAGCCCGCACAAATCTCTGCCAGGCTAGATGCCTCACGCTCATTTGTTTCTTGAGGTCTGGAGTGGTTCGCCCGTGTATGGCATGTAATTAAGACTAGGCACCTCTTTATATATGTAGACTGTACTGAATCGGTGTTGCCTATGCCGTTGATTTAACAGCCAGGAAAGGAACATGTACCTTCATATGCCCTTCGCAGCGTAGGCCGCTCCCTACGCCTCGAAGCATAATGGTGGAGCGGCACAGTATTTTTGAATCTCGCAACCTCACATGTGCCTTACTAATGTCGGCGAGATTTCCAGACTTGATCTGCAGACATCCATTATCTTGATTTTTTGATAAGGGGGTCATAGCAAGGCCAACTCTCCTAGCAGGGCAGAAAGCGACACGTGCCGCTTCGATGGCTCTGCAAAATTGCACATAAAGATATCGGCACAACCTCGTTTCCTCCGCAAAAATATATATTCATACAGGGTTAGTGTCATTTGAGCATGAGCGGTAATTTCTGCCCTTGCACCTTGTCTCCTGTACCGATGAGTTACCCCAGATTTTAGGGTCAAAGCTCTCTGCACTACGGAGAAGGCAGAACGCAAGAACTGATTTGGATATTCTAGAAGCAATCTTGTGATAGGTTATGCTCCCTTGCTCTGTTATAAACCTTTTGCTATGTGAGAGAATCCTGCCACATTCTGGCTAATCGCTTTACACAGGAAGTGCATACTCCTCTTGCTTTTCTTCCAATGGCGAGAGGTTGCTTTCCAGGAGGTTCAAACACATCACAAGGAGAAATAGCTTCATAAACGTCTCTCGTACCCACCCGCACGTTTGGTATCTTGCCGGGACCGACAACTATATATGACAGGGAACGCTTGCCTCATTATGCAAACATCTATAGTTCGTACTGTGTTCTTTACGGGGCATGTTGCTTGATGAAGTACCCTGCGGCGGCTTGCAATGTGACATGTATGGAAGATTCATTGCCGTCAATCTATTCAAAATCAGTACTTACCGTAGTTCTGTTGCGTGTCTTCTCAATTCATATTTGCTTTGAACTAAATCGTAAGTCATCAAAAATCCCGTGGCAGCAAGCGTACAGAAGACCACTTCCTCGCACGCACCTTAGCTCGCACCGGTACATGACGTGCGCCGACTTTCTTCGATGCATTTGTACCTCCATTTTTACATACCTAACACGTAGCGTTAGCCCATACAGGTTCTGAGCCAAAAATTTTAAGCTCCGTGCAGATCTGAAGCCCCGGCAGCGATATCGAAAATGATCTGAGCATATGTCTCTCCATTGGGTAGGTTCTTTAAATAACTCTCTGTGCAGTATCAGTAACTTCTCGAATCGATTTCGCTGTTCAGCTGTGGACATCATGGCAGCAGGAATGAAGAATGACATTGCTGAACTTCAAAAAAAATGTTTGGGTCAAAGAGTCAAGACGAAACAAGGGTGTCCGCCACGCGTCCAGTGCTTTGAAACACGTGCTGTAACACGTGTGGATGTTGTATCAGATCTACGCGAAAATCAAATCCCTATGCATGTTTTCGCGCCTTTTTCTATGAATTTTGGCGTCAACTGCACCTACTCTGCTCCCTCCCAAGCGCTCCACGTTACGACCTGCCCGCTTCAAGAGCAGTCTCAACCCAGATTTACCCACCGAAGCACAAATCGGGTACTCTTTGGCGTCCATGCCAATTCTTCGATATTCGAGCATACCGCGAAACGTCAAGTTGAAGAAGAAGTACCACATGCGCGGCTTTCTGCCGTTCTTTATCCAAAATGGCCACAGCAACTGATAGTCGCGCTTTCGCAAACATCTCCATCGCAGGACAGAATAGCGGTCTGGGGTCACTGAGAATGACGCCTCGTGGTTTTGCCTGGAAAGCGAAGGAGAGCAACCGAAATGTAACAGTTGCCGCACTAGATCTGTCGAAACTCAGATGGCTGCGTGGTGGTCGTGCCATGCAGTTGGCTATCTCCCTGAAGGCTGGCTCTACCATCCGCTTCGAGGGTCTGAAATCGAACGATTTTCAAGATCTGCAGTCCTTTATGCGACAACATTTCGGGAAGGAGCTCTTAATTGTCAAACAAGCAGTCCGAGGATGGTCATGGGGCGAACTCGACGTCAGCAAAGGGGCAGCTGCCAACCTTATCTTTCGCACCGGCGGCGGTGAATCTGCCAAGAACAAAGCCAGAGAGTTTGAAGATTCTTTTGAAATGCCACTAGGGAAGGTCGCCAATGTTCAGTTGCCCGGAAACGCGAAGGAACTCGCGCTCGATTTTCACGTTGATGATACGGCAGCGAAAATGGATGAAGAACTGGTCGAAATGCGATTCTATATCCCAGATGAGGAGGAGGCGAAGGATTCCTTCGAGAGGATCAAAGCTCGTGCCGATACAAGCGCATTTGCTGGTGAGAGCATGTGCTCATTTCTGCATATGGGGGTCGCAGTTCCGCGTGGTAGGTACGATGTTGATATGTATGCCAACTACATCAAATTGCGAGGAAAGGCTGTTGATTTCAAGATTCTATACTCGTCGATTACTCGCCTTTTCCTGCTTCCGAAGCCCGACAATGTCATCGTTTCATTCGTAATGTCCCTGGATCCGCCTATTCGCCAAGGAAACACTATGTACCCCCATTTAGTCTTTCAGTTTGATTCTGAGGAGAAGACAAGAATAGATTTGCCGCTCTCCGCAGATGAGTTACAAGCGAAGTACAAAGGAAAGCTGTCAGAAACTGAAGAGGGTTACACATGGCGCGTATTCTCAAAGATTCTCAAGAACCTCAGCTCCACTCCACTTCACGTCCCGAAGACTTTTAAAAGCTCTACCGGGGCTAGTGGTGTGCGTACTGCGTTGGGCGCCAACGAGGGTTTTTTGTTCTTCCTGGAGTCCTGCTGCGTGTTTGTCAATAAGCCCCCGACGTATATCCGATACGATGATATTGACTTCGTCGAATTTAGAAGAATGGATTTGGAGCGTCGTTTTGACCTGTTTATGTCACTGACAACGGGTTCAAGTGCCACGTACTTGTTTACCAATATTGAGCGCTCTGAGTTTGAGCACGTTTTCCAATTTTTATACGAGTCAAGGAAGGTGCCAGTAGAGAATGCCGAGCAATTGAAGCGAACGGGAGGCCGGCAAAGGGTCACGCTTGCAGACGATGACGACAGCTCTGAAAGCGAGGACGACGATTTCGACCCTCTGGTCCAAGCCAAGGATAAGGATGACAGGGACAGCTCTGATAGCGATAGTGATGCTGAGATAGAAGACCCTGATGACGACGAGCTCAAGCATTTAGGCGGCGCGAAACCGCCAAGGAAGAAGAAGAAACGCTGAAGTAGACTTTTAACGAGCTGCAGAAGTGTCTTCTTCGATTAGTAGTTCTATGGTTTGTGCTGTTGTGCATCCATGGGTAAGAGGGGTTTAAAGCTACTGCCGTGTGATCTTTGATGCTTGAATGATTGTTGCATGCAGTGTCACCAGTGCTGAAGCAAGGAACTTCTTCGGCCATGTCATACCTCTGGTCTTCAAATACTCACGTTTTCGAGGACGGGTTTCCTTGTCAAATTCTGAATCATCACATTCTCATGATCACGTGATCCTGATATCTTCGAATCACCATTAAAATTGCATATTCCGGAACAGCCGACTGAGGCCCTGACAAAGACATCTTTCTCACTTCCAGTAACATGGTAAGAAAACACTTATCATGTTATGGCACATGAGAGAAGACAACTACTTTTCACCACTGTTGGCATAAAGCGGCCCCGTGAGCAGGGGTTCAATCATCATGATTGGACCCCAAGATGATCTTGGGTGCCGTAAAGATCACATGTAGTATCAGCATTCGTCGCAGAAGCCCGTTTTTCTTTTGCAGGCAAGTCTGCAGTTTGCAAAACCTTCTGTACCACTGAGCAGTGAAACAGTAGCGAACGACTTCCGTTTTCGGAGGATAGGCTGGGGAAGAGAGCTAAAAAGTTTTGCTCGACTTTGATACTAATTGGAAAAATTGTTAATTTATTCACAACGGCAGAAGCATTAACACTCAGCGCTAACGTCTACATCAGAAGTCGTATTTGTACTGATGCTGATATATATCTCAGCTTCGTAAAATCGATCTCTTCTTCGAGGCCGCTTCCAACTGGGCCACAACTGCTCTGCATGCAATGGGACCACGGCCTCACAATGGAATCTCTCCGCTTATTATAAACCACCGCAAGGGAACAGGTCGGAGAGGGTTCATGCGGGAATCGGTGATTTCCTTCTCGGTTAGGTGTACCTGCTATTTCGCCCTCTCAAAAACCCCACTAGACACAACAACGAACGCTGTGTAAGATTACAGGTTTGTCACACGCAGCCCATATTCTGTACTCTTGGCATTACGTTTCGAGTCTGACCCGTGCTGTTGGCCAATCTTGAAGGAAAAGGTAAATTCTTCAACGACGACCTTTCCAGCGCCACTAACTCTCATCAGCACGTAAGTCAGTACGCGGTCGAGCAAACTCCGGACTCTCGATAACATCTGACCCCATGTCGAGTTTGATATGATGCTCCTTCGCTAGCAGGGCGGCCGCCCTCAAGATCCTCTTCTTCTCCACCCGAAACAGCAATGAATTGGCGTGGACAGGGTCACTAGGTACAGAAGACGCTGCATGCAAGATGATCATTTCCTCGTCAAACTCGATGGAGGTCGGAAACTCTTCCAGCGTTCGGCTGCATTTGGACGCAATACGATGCCATACTGTTCGCTCGTTGGACGCTGTAAGTGGTTCAAACCAACCCTGAGGAACCTCTCGCTTAAAGCCTCCCACGGACAGCTCGTCACGAGGCTCTTCAAACTCAATCATGGCCCTCGCGCGACGGAATTCGTTAACGTCTGCAAGCAAAATCCTGAGCGCGGCGACAAGGTCGGGATCGATTTGCGAAACGGACAAATGGAATTTGCGGCCCTCGTAGCATAGACCAATTCGCTCAAGTAGACGCAGCTTGGCATCGAATAGATTCCACTCGCGAACAGAGTGATGCTCGGCAACCCACTCAACAAGGTCCTCGACCTCAAACACGTCATAGGGATTGCCAGCTTGCACGAAGCCATAGAGCAAATACAAGTCATCATTGGTCAACTCGCCATAGCTGACTAAGACCTGTGCCCCTTCCTCATACCCGTCCGGGCCGGCGACAAGCTCGAAACATCCCGCGTGATCATCGTAGCGGAAATTGGCGAGGTTTTCACCTGAGCCGTGATTAGTCATGTCCAGGACGGGGACCAAGGCGAATTTGCTCGGCCAGTTCTGCGAGCCTCGAAAGGCGTTGTGGCGGTGACGCAAGCCCGCTCTGGTACTCCCGGCGGCAAAGCCACCCGGCGGGATGGAAAAGGCACGCGAGTGGACGACCTTCATCGCCCAGTCGAATCGTTCCCTTGAAAGGAGCGAGCGCCTATGCGGCGGTAGGGCGGCGCGCATGCGGACGTACTCTGCATCGGCGCGGTAGTGATAGCACTCGACGGCCTCGACCAGCGGCGAGTATTGCGTGTCAAGAAGCGTGTCATGGTCGAGATCCGCGGCCGTGGTGAGTTCGTGGTGTTTCGGCAGGGAGTCGACGTACGAAAGCCACGGGCTCGCATCCTTCTCGACCACGGCGTGGTAGAGCAGCAGTGCGACGAGCTTGAGGTCCCAGTCTGCGGTGTTCCAATACGAGCGCGGCAGCCAGGCGTTGTCCGCAAACGGCAGGGCAGCGGTGTCGGCGGGGCCTGTCGCGTCGGCGAACGAGACGACCAGGGCGTCCGTCAGCGGCAGGCGCGCGATGACGTGCGAGGGCGGGATGCGGTTCGAGGCGGCTAGGCCGCGGCCGCCCGCCGGCGAGCGCGCGACGTGCAGGTGCGGCGACACCGCTGGCGGCGGGCGAGCGCATGCGCGCGGCGGGCGGCGGCGGCGGCGAAGGCGCGGCGAGAACGCGCGCGGCGAGAACGGCAGCGTCGTGAGGGCGGCGAAGGCGGAAGTCATTTCGTGGGCGGCAGTTGGCAGTCGGCGGCTTGGCGGGCGCGGGGCGACGAGGTAGCGAGATTACCCGCGCGGCCGGACATGGAGCTCACCGACAAAGTGCCCCCCGCACGGTGGACACGCGGGATGCCGGCACGTGGGTTTTTTTTTTTTTTTTTTTTTGGCCCGATTTTGGTCGCGCTGGTGATTTCGGCAACGTGGGAAACCCTAGCTCCGGAAGGGGACCGGGATCGTGCCTGGGACGGGCTTGCCCTTCCGATGATGGCAAGAAAGGGCACGTCCGCCTTGCCAGCAGAGGCTTTTCGTGAGATGGCTCGGACTGCAGCGTGCCAGGGGTTGCGGCGGCGGTGAGGCCGGCCTCGCCGGCCCCCGCGACGCGTGATGCGGACGCGAGCAGCACGACCGAACGCGCGGGGGGGCATGGCGCGTGATGATGGCGCTGGAAGCGAGGGCTGGGGCGATCCGACGCGGGGCGGCGAGCGACAGCTCGCGAGGGCTGGGGCGAGACGCGCCCGTCCCCGGATCATGTCGGCCAACGGCACGCAGGCCGGGGGCGGAATGGGGGCGCCGAGGCGTGTCGGGGCAAGGCGGGGAGGCGTCGTGCAGGGGTCCTTGCGTGCGGGGGGCACGACGCCTCCCCGCGGTCGGCGCGCCCGCCAAATTCGCGGCGCGTGCGGGTGGGGGGGGGGGCGTGGCAGGGCAGCGGGGCGCAGGCGCGGCCGCCGAGGCGTGTCCGGATGCGGGGGTCCCCGCGGGAGGGATGGAGCGGACGTGGTGATGGCACCTCGGCACACGCCGGATAACGGTGTCAGTTCCAGTATGGGAAGCCTCGGATGTGCCATACTGACACGCCGAGGCGCCGCGCAGACTTGACCCTTGCATTGCTTGGCGCAGGCGCGTCGAGCGCGCATGCCCCCAATTAGATCCGGCGCCTTGTCCTTGGTTGGTGGCCGTAAACGTGTCCGCGGGCGTTTGCTTTCCGCCGCCGTTCTGCCAACGAGCCGCCGCCGGGGCTTCTCTGCCTGACACGTGTCTGTGCGAGAAGGGCGCTTGCGCATGCAGTGCTGATTTCCATTGTTTTTTCAAGGCCGCACATCTGCCGGTTCGCGGGGAATATCTCGGGCGGCATCGCATCGTCTGGCCGTCCTTGCGCGCGCACCGCCCGCATCGACCGCATCTCGCTGCACCTCTCCCGTCCGGACCGTCGCGCTTCGCGCTCGCACCCGTCTCCACGACGGGGGTCCTTGAACGTCACCCCATTCCCGCGTGCCCTTCCCGCTTCTCCTCCCGCCGCATCCGCCATGGTGGCCCAGGACGACGTCGCCCGTGAACCGGAGGCAGCCCCCCTGCTGCACGCCCATCCCGCCGATCCCCCTGCTGCCGCCGCCGCCCCACCCGCCTCCCGCGTCCTGCCCCACCTCCTCGTTTCCGTGCTTCTTTTCGTCACCGCCATCGCGCTCACCATCCCTGTTCGGCCGAGGCTCATCCTCGATGCTGCCGATGGCAATACCCAGCGCGCTTCCGTCTTCTCCGGCTTCGTCGACTGCCTCGTCGCCTTCTTCTCCATCTTTTCTAGCCCGCTCTTCGGAGCCGTGTCGGATATCACGGGCAGGAAACCCATTCTCGTCATGTCCCATTTTGGGGAGCTCATCGGACTGCTTGTCGTTGCAAGATTCCCAAAAAACCTCGCCATTCAGTTCCCGGCATATATGTTTATCGCTCTCACCAACGCTTACGTCACCACTGCAAACACGATCATCGCAGACATCTCTGCGTATGAACCCGGTCTCGCCGACGATGACACCCCCGTGTCCGCCGCCACCAACTACGGATATCTTGGTGTCGCCATAGGATTTTCCTTTCTTATCGGTCCCGTTCTGGGTGGCACCATTGAAGACACTTTCTACCTTGCCTCCAGCTTCCACGTCGCTTCCCTAATGATTCTTGCTGCCGTCGTTTACGTCTGCGTTTTTCTCCCCGAGACAAAGCCCTGTGCCGCTGTGGAGGATCCCCTCCACACGCACCCCGCTTCCCACCCCTCAACCGCTCAATTTCTCAACGCTACCTTCGTCAATGTATCCGCTTCGGCCCTCAAGGTCACCGACGCTATTCGCGCTACAGATTTTAATCCCCTACCTCGCGTCCGACGCATCTTTTCTGCCAACCCAGCCCTCACATGGATCGCCATTAGTCTTTCGATGACCTCTATTGCACAAGGCGGCTTGAATGCCATCATGTTTCTTTACGTTAACGAGCGCTTGGGATGGGGCACCAAAGAGACTGGCTTGTTTCTTTCTGGCGTCGGTCTATCCCTTCTTATCTCCCAAGGCATTCTCGCCCCCCTCTTCGTACGCTTCCTTGGTGAGGTCACCACCATCATCTTTGGGTTTTCAATGTCGGCCCTGCACTATTTGGTGTACTCCAGAGCCACGTCCACCTCAATCATGATCATTGCAATGTTCTTCGGCATGTTGTCGTTCGTCAGCGACCCCGCTATGAAAGGATTGCTAGCACGCCAGGTTTCAATAGACTCACAGGGATCGCTGCAAGGCAGTTTGAGTGCCCTTACCGCGGTAGTACGACCCATCTCACCAATATTTTCAGCCGCGCTCTTCAGTTACGGCATATCAATTGGCAGACCGGGTCTTGTGTTTGAATTTATCACCATCATCTCAGCCTCAGCTGTGCTGTGCGCAAGGATCGCTTTCTGGAAACCAGGGCTCAAGTAGAGACCTTACTCCAGAACCATTAGCCTTACTTTTGTACATTTACTCGCTTGTCGTTGATGTGTTTTGGTCCGAATCTATTGCAAGTAGGTAGTTTGAATAGTGACCGATACCATAATACCAAAACACGCCCACCCGTTTTGCGATTTGATTAAACTTTCCGAAGTTTTGAGATATATTGGGCAGCATTTGCTGCGGCGTGGCAGATTGTACAGTGTCTCGTCAAAAGAGATTCAAAGCACGCACTTTTATTGGAAATGTGGTCATCATGATGGGCTGAAGCATAACATTACTTTGCACGAAGGGCATCTTAATATCGAAACAATCGTCGTAGATAGTTACAAGTCCTGGATGCTTCTTGGAGTTGCTCATCTGTAGTGCTGAGAAAATAGCAACTAATACTAGCAGCAACTCTCATTTTGCAGTGACATATGCGCTCCTTCAACGGGGCCATTTCGACGTCCTGTTCGTCGAATGCAACCGCGAAGCCCTTCTCGAGAATCATTCTAGGATGCCAATCTACTACGATGTACACCAGTTGCAAGAAACCATTACCTATGCTTGCTATTGGCCAGCGGCGGGCAGCGCATGTCCTCTTCGAGGGAGCCCAGCTTTGAGCCATATCTTCGAGCATTGCATCTCTCTTAGCTTTTCCTCGACATTTCGTGGAGTTGAGCAGGCCTGCGGGCGATCATCCTGACCTAGTATGTCACCGCTGGACTTGCTGTCATACGCGTAGAGGTCAAGGAGCTCTTCCGTCCCTTTAAACAGCCCGTGCACACACACAACTCAAGACTGCAGCATTCCATACTGGAAGGAAACTCCGCCGCCAACATCATAATTAACTGCGTCTACACAGACGACTGTTTGTCTAAATTTATCCACGAGGAATAGAGGAATCTCATTTTGAGGATCGTTGACAGAATGGGCGACTCCGTATAAAACCAAGATCGCGTCGGAAACGAAAATGCTTGACGGCTGACCTCTCATAAAGCTCAGGTTGGGCGGAGATGAAAATAAGTTGTGGGTTGAGGGAAGAGAGATGTGAACGAAGGCTTTTCATAGACGACAATCCACGAGCCCAAGCTGAGACGAATGGGCACAAATCACCATTCGCCGCGGTTGAATACTAGAATGGTGTTTTTTTTAAAATCCTAACAAAGGGTTTCTAGGCGGGAAAGCTCTGAGTTAGGAGACATGTCTTTGACAGTTCGTACAAGAAGGGAAAACGCTGCGGAGTGGCGAAGTGGTATGGCAGGTGAACAGCCCGCTAAATTTACCTGAGGTACAAGATCGGTGCTGTTTGAGAATCCGTCTGGACCATTGAAGAACACCCCTCGAACAACTGATGAAGCTATTCCTCGGAAGTCATGTCGATGTCTAACAAATGGTCAATGTCTTTTTGTAAGTAACTACTCACCGAGTCCGGGGCGAACTCCACACTCTTCAACGATCATGCAGAAACATTGTCTTCACATCGCGACCGTCGCGGCTTTTGATATGCATCTTTGTGACTTTCGACGCCTTCGACTGACGGTTACGTGTAGCCTTCAACCCTATGGAGAAAGCCTCATCCGAATTTGGGACTTAGTTCTGAACCGCCAACTTTGAGAACTTTCTGCGGGCCCACACGTAAAAAGACCTCGTGAGGAATGTCACCTCAGAAAAAAGTTTGGATAAAACAATTGGAGGGGTCTGTATACGGCTGCTACCTCTCAAGAGGTAACTTCTGTTCTATCCTGTGCGAGCTGCTCGCACGAACTGCCAACAGCGGCGACAGTGCTCGCTACGGGTATCGCCATGTCGTAAATTTTCTCTGTGTACTATATGCCTTGACACGACGGCGCATATCTTTTGGGCTTCGGAGGAGATGTGTTAGACGTTTTATTGGCCGAATACTACGTGATTGCAGATTGAGTCTTGAAGGGAGAACCACGGTACGCAGACGTATTAATAGCGAACGTACGTGGTACAGAGTACACAGCATTTGATCTCAAGGTTGAACAAGCCGCGATTAGGACTTTGCTCGCCTATGTTTTGGTGCCTGATTCCCGGTTTCAGTAGGATAAATAGGATTCAACATTCATAGGTAGCGAGACAATGTCGCGAAGTTTCCAGGTATGCGACCTGCTCGTTAGAATTCTGTCGACCTGTACGTCGTAGAGAGCGCAGAAATCTCTTGAGATTCAGATATATACATTCGTAATTAATTCAGCAAACAGTTACATGCAAGTCTGAGTGCATGCCTATTTCCCTTCTGAAAGATTTGTGGCCCCCTCGACATGATTCACGTTGTTCCCAAAGCAGAACTGTTGGCGGATGCAATTCTTGCGACATTAAAATAGCCGGACTGTCAATTACCAAAAGACCACTGTATTAATAATAGATTAGAAATAGTTATCGCGCCGAATTCAGTGGGTAATCGACGTGCGTCTAATAGGATGGCCCCCCAACGCTGGATGCATTGAGATCAGGCACGTTCCGCTCTTCTCGTATTACGTCCGTCCTCCACCGCAAAACCACCGTGACATGCTGCTTGCCAGTCTTTTATCCCTCTGGTCGAGTGCAGTCTGTTTCCAGTGGTGTCATCAAACACGCACTGAAATAGAATGACCATGCGCATCAATGGCTGATTCGAATTGGTATTCCCGGCCCTCGGGAGTATTGGGTGAGCAACTCAAATATTGACCCACAAGATCCCATGTGAGTCAATTCACGAGATACCTCACTTTGAGTGGATATGTATGCGCTTTGTATATTGCATGCAAAGCGCATGTTCCCTCATAGGACCGAAGCGTTAGATCACCGGCGCATGCTCTTCTCCTCAGACGCCTGTCCCACCTCTAGCTCTCTCGATGACAAAAAGCTCCTGCTTCGTTGCTTTCTCCTGAACAGGGAGGCCTCAAGCCTCGTAGCATACTCCTCATCTTCATCCTTTCTACGTTCACTCGCCTTCCCAACGGTCTTGATGAGGAAGCATAGCACCCGCACCCCTAAGACAAAAGTAATACACCTGACCAGCAAGCCCTGACCAACGGCCTCTCTCATTCGCATGGCGCCCGCCGTCAACAAAACCACCATTGCGGCTCCGGGCCCGCTAATTCTAACCCAGTTTGTGCCATCCGCCATCACGTACGCATACCCATCCCACCGGCCGCGCAAGCTGGCCGCGCCAGCAAAAACGTCCATGGGGTCCTCAATTTGCACGTTCTGCAAGCGATGCTTGACGCTAACCGAAAGCGGACGTCCCAGCGTGGCGACGATATCCGGCCAGTGCGGAAGGCCGGCGAGCAGCGCGAACGCGAACAACGCGAGCGCGACGAGTGCCAAGACGTCATAGCGGGCCTGCCCCCATTCGGCGGCGAGGAGCAGGCGCAGCGTGGTGAGGCGGCGGCGCGGGACGAAGCCGGAGACAGCGTCGAGCAAGTGGTGGAGGGTGACGAGGGCGGCGGCGGCGATGAGGAAGGAGGAGAGGAACGAGGGGTCCCTGTGGAAGAGGCAGGACGCGGAGGGGATTGCGGAGCAGTCGCGAGCGATGGAGATGTCGCGCGGGTGGCACTCGACGGCGGGGTCGGCGCAGGAGCGGGCGCGGTTGAGCGCGGTCTGGAGCAGGGCGGACGGCGGGTTGGCAGAGTTGTGCAGCTTGAGGGCGGCAGAGTGCCAGTCGGCGAAGACGGGGCGCGAGCGGTTGGACGGGAAGACGGAGAACCAGTCGGGCGAGATGGAGCGGGCGTTGGCCGCGAGCGGGAAATGCAGTGGGTCGGAGAAGGTCGGCAGGAGGACCGGGTCGTGGCGGAGCAGGATGGCGGGGGAGACGTGGAAGAGGCCGTCGTTGTAGGTGCGCGAGAGGGCGTCCCAGTGGCGCACGAGGTAGTGCAGGACGCAGAGGTGGGTGGCGGGCGGGGTGGTCTTGGGGACGGCGGTGAGGGTGACGATGTCGCAGACGGTGCGAAGCGAGACGACGGGGGATTTCGCGGGGGGGAGGCAGCGCAGGACGGCGCAGCGGTTGCCGTGGACGTTGCGCGCCGTGGAGATGGCGTAGGTGAAGAGGGGCGTAGCGGCGCGGAGGACCAGCGGGAGGTCGTGTTGGCGGCGCGTGTGGGGGAGGCGGCGCAGGAGATGGATGAGGAACAGGAGGGAGAGGAAGAAGAGAAGGGGGGGTGCCGTGGACGGGCGGCGGCCGGGCGGCATGGCGAGTCTCGGGGGTGGGAGGTTAGAGCGGGGG